GGAAACACGTGAATTGACATTATTCACTAATACATTTTCCGGTTCATTTTGCTTGGTGTAATCCCGTGTGAAGTGGCTCATCTTCTGGCATGCATAACATTTGACCTTCTTTAGGTCAAGTTTCTTCTTCTTACCTCCTTTGTTGTCTTTTTTCTTGAATTGCTCCTTTTTTTTTTTTCTGAATTTGGAGTCACCTTTCTTTCCCTTCTTGTGGAACTTCTTGCCCTTCTTAAAATCGAGCTTTGAGTTAGAAGGTCCTACATCCTTAGTATACTAGACCTGGCTAGAGGATTTGCATGCCTCCAAGAGCTCATCTTCTAGTTCAATATGTTTAGCCACATCATTATGGGTAAGGTTAACCTTCATGTGTTTCCGGCTAGAAGGAAGCGACCTTATCACGGCTTGAACTTGCTGTTCATCGGTCAAGGTATGCCCATCCCCTTTGAGTTCTTGTATCATGTTAGACATCTCCCTTAGGTACTGCTTTACGAGAGTGTTTGCCTTAAGCTTATAGGTATCTAACTTAATCATTAACCTTCTAAACTTAATTGTGAACATCCCATCGAACTTGTCCTTTAGGTTTCGTCCACATGGCTTAACTAGTATCAAGCTCTTTAAACTCACACATGAGGTCATCAGCAATGATGCTCAATAGAGTGATTCTAGCAATGCTATATTCCCAGTTTCAGGTTCCTTCATCTCAGTCAAGGGCTCTAAAGCCTCTTGTTCCTCTAAAATGTATGGCACCTTTTAATGCCAGATATCCCAATTGTCTCTATCAAGTTTTTCACCCTTATTCAGTTCAGCTATGATGTTTTTGGTTGCCATTTTTAGTTCTATAACAAAGCTATTCCACATTAAAATATTATTCCCTACACAAGAACCAACAAATTTAAGGACATATAAATGATTATATACTCCTCCGGTCCTTAATATAGGACCTAATTCTTGAGTTGGTTTTGGTCCTAAATATAACACCCATTTCTCATATTTATCAATTTTCTCTAAATTACCCCTATGGATACTCTCTCAACCATAATCAAGTAGAAGAGGGAGAGGGGTATTAAGAAAGATGATTATGGTGTTTTAGGAAAAATGTGTCACTTTTCTTATAATTAACTAACTTACCTAACTTCCTTAATTTAATCAAATTAGTTAAATGGGTCTTATATTAAGGACCGGAGGAGTATATAGCATTAGCACAATATACAATGGCTTGTACTTATATTATCCTTGACAAGAAAATAATGACAATGATAGGTCCATGATCAGGAGAGAACATTTGTACCTCCCATCACACAAAGTCTAGCATCATCATTAGATTCTGTTAAGAATTTAAAATTTAAGTACTTTTCGGTAAAAAAATAACTTTGAGGAGATTTATCTCTTAAAAAACTCCCACTCAAGAAAGATATGTCAATAATTGCTAAAACATCAAACAAAAATTACATATAAGTCAAGTCATAACATTGAAAGCATTATAAAGAATTATGACTCTTCACACAGAAGCCAAAAAATAAAAAATCAAACGTCTTTGTAAAAATCGACAAGAGCCTTTCTAAGTTTGGGTAATTTGATGTGATTCTTAACCACTACATTTACAGTGCAAACCCAAGTGTCCTTCAGTTCCCATTTCTTTTTAACTCTAACTTCTTGACGAAACATCATCATGACATTAGCATAGAAGTTAATGCTTATAACATATCTTTTAAGAATTCTATTTATGTCCCCAACAATTTTAACTCCTTTTATGTCGAACTTCGCTCTCCTACTTCCCAAAATAGGAGTGAGAAGTTGATTTACTTTTTCGTCTTCTTCAAGAAGTCTATAAGGATAGGAAGTTGCTAACTTTGATCTGAAATATGTATAAATTTCTTGAAGTTCTTGCATGTGTTCCATGGGACCATGCTGAAGAAGATCTTCTTCCTCATCCTCCTCTGGATCCATCTCAAGATCCTCCTTAATATCCATCTCTAGGTCTTTCTCAGGGTCCATTTCTGGGTCTTCTTCAATGTCGATCTCCAGGTCTTCCTCAGGGTCAATATCCATTTCTAGATCTTCCTTAAGGTCCATCTCTAGATCCTCCTTGAGATCCATCTTAGGGTCCTCCTCTTATTCTATCTCTAGCTCCTCCTCGGATTCATCACTTAATGGTTTGTATTACGGAGGCTTATCATCCATATATTCTATACTAAACAAACCATAAGAATGAGTTTTAGTGTCAGATGAAGCCTCTTGCTTCGTTTTTATCTTAAAATTTTTTTTGAATTAATATTTAATATTTTAAGGAATATAAAATCATTATAAAGACACTGAAAAACTCAAAAATGAATCCCAGATTGCCTTTTGAAATAGACACATCATATATCATAGTCAAGATCATGAATTTAGGGATTTTTAGAGACAAACCGCACTTTAAACGGAGGTTTCACACGCCTCCACGCATCTCGAGAAGAATAAATCCTAAAAAATTAAAAAAATCTGGCGAAAACCACTCTCACCACCAGCGCGTAACTATGCAGGTTTTTTATGGCAACAAACACTGGACCGTTGGCCTCCCCGCGCCATCACCTTTCGAGTGTTGGTATCCATGTGGTGAATAGACCTACCATGTGGCGTCACGTGCCATGTAATAGTTCTGGCCTTTTTTTTTCTTTTAAATTTATTTATTTATGAATATTTATATTTTTTTTGTTCTTGGGCCTCTGTTTTTTTGTTTAAAAAATGACTTGGGCCTAACACAAAAAACAATTTATATTTGGGCCTAACAAATTACGGGCCTTTGTTTTTAAACCACTTAGCAAAATCCTACGTTTTGCTAAGTAGGAAAGGGAGACCCTTCCAAGCGAAACGATGTTATTTTGCCTAGAGGTTGTCTTCAAACTCTAACCGGGTTGTTCAGACCCAGTTGGCAAATAGGGTCGAGTCTGTCCAACCTGACACCTTCTCTCCATCGTAATTTCACCGTCCAACGTCCATTTTTTGTGTTCTATATATTGTTTTCTTCATTTTTGTGTCCTCTACACAATGGGATAGGTTTTGAAGAACTTAAAAACTTGATTTTGAAGAGAACAAATTTTGAAAAACATAAGCTTTAAATGTTCTAAAGCAGAAGAATGAGTCTTATGTTTCCAAGTTTAATTTCCGTTTTAAGGGTTTTCCCATCATTCAAAAACTGTTTTTTTGCACTTCTATTGTAGTTAACAATACATGTGTTAACAAAAAAATGAACAGAAGCAACCATAGTTGAGGGAAAACCATAACTCACCCACAGGAAATAACATATGCAAAAAGAAATTACAATAAGAAAAAGTAAAGAGAGGATTTGCTTAATATTTACAGAGAGTAAATCGCATCATAGTCAAATTAGAACTCAGAAACCAAGAGATATGGACAAGCATTAAGAAACAAATACAAGCCACAAGAAAAAAAACTCAAGCTCTGATACTAATGTGGGTTTTTGGGCATACTTGAAATTTGGACGAATACTCATGGTACCCACACGTAATCTGGTCACGCAGACGGAGTCAGATTTTTGATATACAGCAAATGCAGAAAAAGAGAGGAGAGAATGTTGTTTTTCCCCCCTTATGATACGGTTAAGAGGAATACACTCACATATATCGTCATCTGTTTGCAAGTTTTTCTCCATGTGAAAAAACTATTCCCTCTATAATAATATTTCAAATAAAATTGTTAATAATATTTTTTACCAACATAATTAATAATATATAAAATAATATAATTAATATGTATATTTATTTATAAAATATAAGATTAAATATGTTTATAAAAAATAATTGAGGAATGTTAAAATTATATTATCGTTAAGATTTACTCTATAAGCACAATCATACTCTCCCATTTGAGCCAAAAGTATAATAGATTCACTTTTTCTGAAACCATGGTTTTGAGCTCCAAACCATGGTTTTGACCCAAAACCATGGTTTTCTATGTTATCCAAACAAGTCTTTGAGGATACAAAGGAGCCTACACTGATTTTCCCATGCGGGGAAAACACCCTTGGGGACATTTGTACGGAAAGAGAATAAATGCATAAAACAAGTGCTTGTAAGGCGCGGTGCGGATATGAAGTTAGTTCTTAATTATAACAAAAGTAAATTACACCGAAGGCAAAACAAAAACAAAAATATCTAACATATATATTATGCTTCTGGACATTTAATATAGAATCTAATTTATGAGTTAATATTAGTTGTATACATAAAAACTATTTTACATATTTATTAATTTTTTTCAAATTAATCATATCGATATTCTCTCAACAATAATCAAGTATAAGAGAAAAATAAGGAATTAAGAAAGATAATTATAATATTTTAGGGGAAAAAAACATATCATCTTATCTAATTTAACAAACATCTTTATTTTACTTAAATTAGTTAATTAGGTTTTATATTAAAGATTAGAGGAGTATTATAAGCTTATAAATCCAGAAATTATTGTTTGGAAAAAAAACAAAAAGGAAAAAATCCAGACACTAGTATAGCTTTGAAACTTGACTATAAACAAATTTTCTTTCTTCTTCGTCCCTTCACCTGCTATCCCCTTTCAACTATTATAGCAACTTGACTATAAACAAATATGATCATACAAAATAATCCTTCATACACCACTCTTTCTCCTTGGACCCTTCACCTGCTAGTCCCTTTCAACAATTATAGCCCTAATTCCCTAAAACTTGACTATAAACAAATATTCTTTCTCCTTCGTCCCTTAGCAACTTGACTATAAACAAATATGATCATACAAAATAATCCTCCACACACCGCCCTTTCTCCTTGGACCTTTCACCTGCTGGTCCCTTTCAACAATTATAGCCTTGAAACTTGACTATAAACAAATTTTTTTTCTCCTTCGTCCCTTCACCTGCTATCCCCTTTCAACTATTATAGCAACTTGACTATAAACAAATATGATCATAAAAAGTAATCCTCCACAAACCGGTCTTTCTCCTTGGTCCCTTCAACTACCACCAAAAGAAAGTTGCTCTGAAGTTCAACTTTGAAGCTGAGGCAAAAGGCACACTTGAGCATTCATCCCTCGTTCGGCAAATGGAATCGCAGAGGCCAAATAATAACAGTGAGTGTTCTGTGAGATTCTATTCTTGAAAATTTTTGCTTCAATTGAGAATGTTTTGTTTGTTTCATTTGACATGGTTTTCTTAGGGTTTCGCTTACTCAAGTAGCAGGTGAGAGATTGATGCACAACTTGGGAATGTCATTCTCGCATTATGATATCTGAAATTCAACAGAAATTTCAATTTCAACCCCCCATTTTTATTTTGTTCCTTCTGTATTTAGAGACTTTTTGGCCATTAGAAGACTTTAAAGAATCCAAATCTCTGTCCATTATCCTTCACTAATTGCTCAAGAAAAGACACTCAATCACTCAAAGTCCCCCTGTATTATTGATGATGCTTCGTAAACCATCACTTTGGATTAAAGGTAAATATTTCTATGACGTTCATAATTTAATCCTTTCTTCGGTTTAAGGAGAAGACGGAATAATTTGGCTTCTACCCGAACTGGAAGAGGATAGATCAGAGCCCGTGCTCGAAATGAGACGTTATATAAAAATCAATGGAGAAGATAGTGGTCCAGGTAACACATTTCCTTGGTCTACCAGAATCAAAAACGCAGCAAGCTTGCTATAACAAGTCATTAATGTTTTCCATTTCTTAGACATTGAAATTCAAGCAAACGTGGGAGATTTTATTGTATGGAGTGTCTTCTTCTCACCCCCAAGCGGATCATCTAAATTTATCCGAGGTATGCCAGATTTCTTCATTGTTGTGCTCTGACATGAGTATCCCATTATTGTGTTTTGCCATTTTATATACAAAAAGGAATCTAAACTTTTGCCCCCATTATGATGGGCATTTAAACAGCACTGTCTCGAGCAGACATGCGCTTGAAGAATGTCTTCTCACTACCGAGTGAACCATCTACAGTAAATGTATTCCATCAGTGCCCTGAAGACGAAGACAAGGACAGAAAATTCCAAAAAATTGAAGATAAAAAAAAAGAGAAAGACAAGGACAAGGACAAGGCAAAGCGAGAGGAAAAGTACTATTATCCAATGCCACCTTTTGGCTCTGTTGACATGAGAATAAGGCAATATAGATCAGGATTTGAACAAGTATCCCGTTTGAAACATAAGTTAATGAAGCAAGAACATAGACCCGACAAGGTTTTCAATTTGCTAAAGGATGCATACGATTCAATGAACGCCAATGCCGGCTCTGGTCCCAACATATCTTTCACTGTATCTGATAATGCCATTTTTAAGCAACGTACCCCACTTGGCAATACAGTCTTGCACTTGGCAGCTGGTCACGGGAATGATGCAATGGTAGAAAAGGTAGCTCAACATGCTCCCCAACTTTTCACTGCTATTAACAACAACTGTGATACTGCACTTCATGTTGCTGCAAGAACGGGACATGGCTCTACCATTAAGTTAATCTTGAACGAGTTTTTGCTTTTTGCAAGACGTGAAACAAATGGTCATGGTGATCAATCCATTTTGGAAATGATGCTCATGGCATCACTAACTTTGTTTCGAAATAAGCAAGGGAACCCTTCCTCCATGAGGCCTTTATGACCAATAGCCATAATGGCGATGTGATTTTCAGAGCTTTTGAGGCTTCTTTCAATGCAGATGGCGGTTCAGACTTTGAGGCCGGCTTTAAGAGAATTATTCATCATTTAGCACCATTTGCAGTCAACATGGACGGGAAATCATTATTGTACTTGACCATTGAGGTTAACTGTAACCAAGTTGTTGATCAATTGATGGAGTTCTGCATTGAAGATGAGTCGGAGCTGCAAGGAAGATCACCCCTTCTTCCCACACTCATCAAGAAGAATTTAGGTAGCTCTTAAATTGACTCATTGCTTAAACTTTTGAGTATACGATTTATTTACTAGTAAACTCTCATTCTCCTTGTGAGATCAATGATACTATGGGAGAAAAGCACTAGAGTAAAGATAACAAGAGGCAAAATTAAGAGAAAATTGTGCTATGTCTATTCAATCAGCATATGAAGGCTTATAAACAATAGGATAAAAGTTTACATATGTTCTTTTAATTTTATACAAGGTTTCAATTTGGTCCCTTAACTTTAAAAAACCTGTTTTTGGTCTTTAAACCCTAAACTTGTAAATCTTAAATTATAAGTTTTTGTAATAATCATGGTTGTTTTAAAAATTAAACTTAATATATTAACATTTGAAAATATTTTTTCAACATGTAGTATCTGATGAATGTCATATCTTTGTTGATAGTTTTAAGGTTAAATAATTAAAAATATACCTTTTTAAAATTAAGAAATCAAACTGAAATCTTGTATAAAATTAAAAAGTTAAAAGTAGACTTTTACCTAAAAAATAGTAATGAGCCATCCTAATAAATACTATAATCTATAATAATTATAATAAATGTGATAGGTCAACCTAAACAAAATATAGGAGATTACAATTAATTGAAAATCATAAATCAATCATAATCTGATGACACTTAATCATATTAACACTCTCAAAACATTTATAATCATCAAGACAAAAGGAGACATTCCTACTTAATCAAGGAAAGGAGAGGAGACTTGTATATAAACACAATATTCTGTCTCTGTCTTTCTCTCACATATTCATTTACACAATGAATTTTCTTAATTTGAGCATATACAAAATTATGATTAATATACTTGTTTATAATAGATATGCTAGGAGTCATATTGAGGAAGAAACCAGATTGGATACACTTGAGAAATGAACAAGGATGGTTTCCACTTCATTCTGCAGCGCATTTGGGTTACCTTCAAGGTGTTTCCTACTTAGTGGAGAAATGTCCTTCTTGCGCCATGGAAAGGGACAACAAGGGCTACTTACCGATTCATTTAGCATGTGTTCATGGTCATGTCGAAATAGTTCAAAGGTTACTAGAAGAGTGCCCAGATCCCACAGAGATGCTAACTGAACTTGGCCAAAATTTGCTCCATCTTGCATGCAAATATGGAAATTATGAAGTAGTCAGGTACTTACTCAAACAACGTGAGCTTGAGACAATGATAAATCAAAAAGACGTAGACGGGAATACTCCCTTGCATTTAGCTACCAAATCCTGGCATCCCAAAATTGTGTATGCCATGACATGGGACAATAGAGTGGATCTTTCTTTACTTAACCGTGACAACCTAACGGCTCTAGACATCGTAGAAGTATATCAAGGCATGAGTGTTTGCCTTTCAGAGGCAAGTATCCATGCATAATTTGGCTGATTAGACTTCAATATTTTTCCTTTGTCAAAATTATGTTAATTCTTGAAGTCTCAATCATTTTCCCCCCTTTGTTAACCCCAGTCAAATTATGTATTTGCAGCGACTTACATGGAATGCATTGATATCTGCTGGAGCACCTCGAAGTTCTGTGAGATTTCATCCACACCTTAAGTCCCCTACTCCTACCACTGAACAATATAAAGATAGAATTGACACTTTGATAGTGGTTTCAACCCTTATAATAACAACATCATTTGCTGCTGGGTTTACCATCCCAGGTGATGTGGATCAAGGCATTCCCTTCTTGCTAAAACACCGTGTGTTCCATTTATTCATTCTCTCCCTCACAATTTCTGTGTTTGGTGCTATAAGTTCCACCATCATTCTCATGTGGGCTCGACTAGGGGATCTCCATCTGGCAGTTTTTGCTCTTACTTGTGCATTGCCTCTTCTAGGTCTATCCCTGACAGCACTATCTGTAGCATTTTTGGCTGGCATGTACCTTGTAGTTAGCAAACTTAGCTGGCTTGCCGCTATGTTTTTGCTGATTGGTGTGGTTTTGATCCTCGTGGTTGTATTCTTGTACTTGCTCCTTTTGTTACCTTCCTCTTCAACCTTGCCGTTCTTTCGATATATTTCCTATTATCCCTTTCTTTTCTTTGCCAATATAGCTCAAGGGAAAATGGATGCCAACAAGATGGGATCTAAAGCTATCGTTCGAGTGGTTTAACTTAACTATATATATATGTATGTTGTTATGAGTGCGATGAAGAATCATATCACAAGTTTCTATTTTTTTTCCTTTTCATCTGTTTGTCGACAAACTACGGAATGTATTATTCTTAGCTACACGTGTCGTTTATGCTACTTCTGGATATTCTCAAATTTGTATAATATTTTTCTTTAAGAAAACATGTTATTGTGCTTAAATTTATCCATTGCATTCCAAGAATTTTAATTTGACATATTTGTGAAAAATGAGCAGTTAGGGGACTTGTATTTTGGACCCTATAGTATTTCTGAAAAATGACTTATATTTAGAATGAATGATAATATTAATCGATAACAACATTTTTGTAGACATGTAATCAATGAGCTTAATTTGTCAATCTATCAGAGACATGGGAAAAATCCTAGATTGACCTTAAAAAATATATAAATATTAAGTATATTTTCCATATTTTGTTTCCACGTTAATTTGTAGGGGACTTTGGGCTTTCGAATTTTTTGTAATTCATCCTTGTCCTAAATTTTAAATCTTGGTATATAAATCCAAATAAAAGAATAAAAAAACTTGGGTGTGTGGAATATAAAATGGAGTGTAAATAAAAAAAATTCATATATACAAGAAAATTTGTCTAGAATTTTAAAGTTGATACTATTTGGAAAATATTGCTGTTAAACTCGACAAACTCAAATTTGACTTAATTAGATTATTATATTGTAAAAAAAATCCCTTCAGAAGAGGATCATCAAGCCATTCATGTCAGATTCACATGCCGCTATCATTTAAAAACAAAATCAGCATGTTGAAAAATTCATCTTAGTTGATTTGGGCTTAGAATAGATTCAACAACAATTTGTGCTCATGTCTGTTCACATATTTGAAAAAATGTTTTCAAAGAAACTCAGGAATTCGAATGGGCCTGTTAATTATATCTATTCCCAGCTGCTGAGACTTTTAATAGTTTGACTGATCCATGCGCTCGTGCAAGTTGCTCCATCAATCTGAGTTTATTCCAAATTAGGCTTCATTTATAAATTATTATGATCGTTTCATTGTTTTTTTTCCTTTTTCAAAATAAAATGTAACGTCTACTCATTTTTCCTAGATATAATGCTAGGTCTAATTATTTCATCCCATCAATAATAAAATGGATTAACTCCTTTCTATGTAACTTATTTAACTTTATACAAGATTTTAATTTGGTTGTTTAACTTTAAAAAAAAATATTTTTATTATATAACCTTGAAATGATCATTAGTATTAAATAATTCATATTTGTAACAATCATAAGTATTTAAAAATTAAACTTAATGTATTAGCATTTAAGAATATTTTATCAATATTCAAAATTTCATTATTATCATTGTTTTGTTAACAACTTTGGGATTTAAGACTCAAAATACACTTTTCAAAGTTTAGAGATAAAATTAAAACTTTACATAAAATTAAAAGACTAAAAATATACTTTAGCATTTCTTTCATCATTGAAAACACACATGGAAGTCCCTTGATTAATTTTGATAATATTATGAAGTTAACTGATTATATATTCTAGATTTTTATTATTTTCATAATTTTGAATTTTTAATCTCATTTATTTAACATTATTTATTAATATTTTAAAAACCTCAGTTGGCTAAAAATATCATTTAAGCATATCTATATATATTAAATTATTTTACATATATATCTTAAATTATTTTACATGATTATGAAATGGAACAACTTTGATCTTCTTCTGCAACATCTATTTGGTATAAATTTTTCACAAACCATCAAGGGATAAATTAGAAATTTTGTATGCTGAGGAGTGAATCAGTGAATAAAATTTATTTTAATAGAAAACTGAAAAACTGAACAGTTTGGAGTGAGATATAAATCTTCGTTTGGATAGAAGGATAAAAAATCAAAGAGAAAATGTTGTCACTCATGCTGTTAGATGAACGAGAAGAAATAGGAAGAAAAGAAAGTAAGTATCTTTCTATTTAAAAATATATCATGTTTAAAATCAAATTAAATACCACAATAAAGTATCATATTAACATTTGTGTTGTCAAATAATTTAAAATCAAATTATTTAGTAAAGATATATTTTCATATTATTACATTTTAAAGCCAAATAATTTTTAAAAATGTTATTTTGCAAGAAAAATAAGAATTAAATAATTTTTTTGAAATTAGATATAATAAGAGAAAATAAATAAATTATATATAATCCAAAATTATTAATAGATGCTAAAAATATATTATAAAAGACGGAGGTCTAAGAATGAAAAAAATTAATCTTCTCATTTTCTCTCCCCATGCTGGGAATAAAATGGGATTTATCCACATCCCATTTTTTCCCCAACTTTTCTTTCCTTTCATTTTTCCTTACCCATCCAAGTAACGAAAAATTCACCTCTCCTTATTTTACTTCTTAATTTTCTTTTCTCGGTCATTTGTTTTTTTCCCCATCCAAACATGGTGTCATACCATCAAAGTCATGAGAAATGTATAATCTCCCGTATTTTAGCAAAATTTTCTTTGACAATTGACATATTCCGGATACCAAGAAATATTCATCCAGTTTTTATAAATAAACAATCTTGCAATAAATGCAATATCAGTTAATTAAACACTAGCTTAATTTATATTTTTAATTAAGAAATTCTAATTTTTTTATACCGGAATTTGTCCAATTAATAAGGAGTCAACTTATAATCCACTGTCAATGTAAGGACCTTGGTGAACAATCTATAAGTACATATATAATGACCGTAAGCGCTTTTTAAGCCTGAAGGCATGTTCTGATATGACCCTACTCGTCTAAACTTTTCCTTGCATCAAAAAAAAAATCTAATTAAAATAACTTGGTTCATCAAAAGCGGACCTTCTGGTCAAAAAAAAAAAATCAAAAGCGCACCCAAGGTCGCACAGTTGGGATAGAAAAAACAAATGAAAGGAAGGCATTCCCTCTTGTTATTAATTGGTTAAAACAAAATAAAGGGGAGGGGAGGAAGCCCCACCCTCCAAAGTCTTGGGATTTGGAAGTTATTAAAAAAATATTCCCTCTGTAAAATAGTAAAATCTCCTCCTCTTGGCTCTTACCCCCACCCACCCCCCGCAAAAAATAAAATAAAACCTAAGCCTTCTTCCTCTATTATCCCTCCATTTAACCACATATACATAAAACATTCTTATAAAATTTACTCTACTTGCAATATACAAGACATCAATATAATATCTATTTATAAAAGAGGATGTGCCCAGCCATGCAGCTATAATGCTAGATTCAGGCTTAATTTCCTATGGCAATAAATAGTAAGAGCTCAATGGGCTCAAATATGACTTCTCTGTCGTGTCAACTTTCTATTTTGAACTTGGTTTATTCAATTTTCAAATATACAAGAAAATTTACAAAATTTTAGGTGTAGTTAATATCTGTTTTTCCTAAAATACTCCTAATATTTGAGACATGAAAGGCAAAGATATAATCAGCCATCTGCATTACTCAATTGCTCACAAAATTCATAAACTTTTTGTTTTTGGACTGTAAAATTCAGGAACTTGAACCAGCTACAAGTATGCGTGTGTAAAGCCGTCCATAATTAATTGAATTAATCAATTAATTAATTACGAAACTCTCCTTTCTAATTCAGTTAATATAAGCAGTAATAAAAAACACACTTCGGCTAAGAAGATTGCATGTTTTCTATCTGATAAGCTCGTGTACAATCCAGACCTGATAACATTATACGAATTCGAATTGCTTTTAAAACAATTCAATAATATATATGTCTATATATTAACTGATTTAATATTTAAATTTGGAAACAAACCTCATTTATAAAATTCTCATATACAACTAAACATCGTTTTATTGACTTCATGCATGAGAGTGAAAAACAAAACCACTATAAGGTCCCTTTCCTGCTTGAGGGACATTTCAAATTACCAAAAAAGAAAAGAAACACATTTGATTACAACTATGACATACCTTATTCAGAAGAGAATTATAAATTACAGCCACCTTAACTAAGTGTCCACTCTTGTCGGATTACAAAGCTGATCTTTCCCTTTCAATCCCCTTCCATGCATAGAAAGAATTATGAATCTCTTCAAAACAAATCCCTTTGGTTATTATCTACACCAACCCACCGTAAACTTTCCTCTGTTTTCTGCAGAACCTTCAACCAGGTATGTCTTCAAACCAAAAAAAAAAAAAATCACGCATTTACTCTTCTGACTACCTTTTTGTTTTCTGTATATAACATATGTTTCAGTTGTCGCAGTTCAACCCACAAATTTCCAGCACGATGTCGTCTTTTGCTAAAAACGGGTTGATTCGGACCCAGAGAAGGGAGAAGATTGAAGCCAGGAGAATCGCCCAGACTATGATGATGGTAGGAACACCTTCTTGCTTTCCCATGACTCCCTTGAGGAATGGGTAGAGATGGAGGATGACCCAGAGGGCAAAGAAGAGCTTGCCAAAGAGAGGTCCCCAGGAATCATAGCCGTTGTTGATCGCATCTGAGACACCGACAATGACACCGATTATGTTTATGATGAGCAAGGTTAGAGGAGGAACCAACAAGGATGTCCACTTAAAGATGTAGAGTTCGGCAAATTCTCCATCGTCTGCAGCTTTAGATGTGACAGTGAAGTTTGTGTTCACTCCGGCCAGAACCTTCAGCAGACCTTGAAAGAGGGCAAACAGGTGCGAGGAGACACCACCGATGACCCAGAACTGCTCGTTCCTCCACCAGTCATGTATGCCGACGCCTCCCCACTGCATTTCCAAGATGCTCGTTGCAGCAATGGAAATGAAGAGCGCCATGAAAATCAGACTCGCATAGTTGCTAATCTGGATACAAAAAAAAGAAGCATGAAGCATTAGCAATGCATCGAAATTAGAACGAGTTGTGGATGGATTTGCATTCTCCCCACTTTCTTTGTTATTTGAGAATAACAAGAAAGAAATGGAGAGAATTGAAATGTGTTGTGGTTTTTACAAGTCCAGCCCTACATATTGAATAGGATTGAACATGCTGACTCGTAATTTTAACAATTCTAATCACAGCATACTACATTTTGAAGTGGAAATTAAGATTGAATTTCTTCCATCAAACCAAGAAAGAAACAAGCGATCCTACCTCGGGGACTATGAATTTTCCGGTGAGGAGACAGACAGCCGGCAAAGTGCAGTAGGCGAGCAAGGGAATGGAAGTCAAAGGATAAACGACGGAGTTAATGTAAGAGAATCGTTCCAACGATTTCAAACCACAACCATATCCATACCACAATGGACAATGCCTACTAAGAAATATCTCAACAGATCCAAGTGCCCACCGGAGAACCTGATGCAGACGGTCGGAGAGATTGATGGGAGCTGAACCTTTAAAAGCCGGCCTTTTTGGCATGCAGTACACGGATCTCCAACCATGGCAGTGCATCTTGAAACCTGTTAGAATATCCTCTGTGACTGAGCCGTATATCCATCCAACCTGAGAAAAGACAATTGAAACTTGGTAAATGTAGCAACACATCTAGGCAGTGGTTTATTAAGTTTGAAACCAATTTAATATTTACCTCTTTCCCCCACTCCGTTTTATCCTCATAACCACAGCTAATGACATGGATTGCTTCTTTCAAAAGTGATGCAGAACTTGCAGATTTTGGCATGCCGCCATCTTCCATAAGTGTCGAAGCTATGAAGAAAGAAGATTGACCGAATTTTTTCTCGAATTTTACTAGAGGCATTAGTAATGACTTTTCATTGTCAATTCCTGTAATTGAAAATAAGGAAGATTATATTCTAACCTTGGTACAAAGATTACAATCTACTACGCTCCAAGGAAATATTTGGTGTTTTACCTTCGATTCCCTCTTGAATATTTTCTAGAGAAGTCAATTGCTTTGTAGCCTCCTTGTTCTTTATTTTACTTTTCCCACTTGACTTGACTTTCTTGTTCTTCTTCCTAGATCCACAGCAGCAGCAGCACCACCATTTAGGCCAACAGTTACAAGTCTTCCTCGGTGGCTTCTTCTTAGCAGGGGCATCATATCCATAGAGTGCTTGCCTCCGGAAAACACAACCGGTACCGACATAAATTGGACCTTGGATGCCGTCTAGGCCTTTCATGTTAATCTGTTATATAATTAAAAATAGAGATTAACTTTTCCTCAAAGCATAATACCAAAAATGCCAACAAGTGCAGATTCTTTACTCACATCAAAGAACACAACATTACGATTTGAGTATCGATCGTGACGATCAATCCCATCAAATCTTTGAGGAAATTGTACATAGCAAATTTTCTTTCCCGATGTAGGATCCATCAAGAAGCACATGGCTTCACGAAGTGCTTTGCTGTTGTTAATGTAGTGATCACAATCAACATTCAGCAGATAAGGAGCATTCGAAATGATCGCTGAGACTCGAATCTAACCAAAACATGTTAAAGATAGATCAGGATAATGAAAGTTGCAAGAAAAGTAAGTATATGTGAGAAAGGGGACCAACCCTACCAAGGCATTCATAGCTCCGGCTTTCTTGTGGTGATCGAATCCAGGTCTCTTCTCACGAGACACATAGACAAGACGGGGTAATTCATTCCCATCAACATCTCGTACACCATTTTGACCGAGGAAAACCTATAAAGAAGATCATCAAAGATGAAATTAACCGAAAGAGCCATACCACTACCACATTTTTACAGACAGAAAATACTACTCACTTGTATCATTCCTGGATGGTCTCTGACATTGTTCCCAGGCCATGGAGTCCCATCCTGCATAGTCCAACCGTCCTCAGGAACCTTCTGTGCCATCGCAACCAATGCATTAATACGCACTTTGAACTCCTCGTAATCCCGCTGCACAATAGACAGTTCAGAACACCAAATTTACATCATCAATAATTGAAGCTCAGCATAAGAGTTGAAATCACTAAACGCATAACAAATGCATAATTGAATAGGATGATCTAGTCCATTAAATCATGCCCCATGTCTGTGGACATTTACCTTAATAGCGCGACGCTCCTTGATAAATGTTGGGTCAACTTTGTCTCTCAGATAGTCAACCTTTTGAGCAAAATACCATTCAGGAGCACGTGGTTCAATACTGAACTTCTTGCAGAATGGAACCCACTTCCTCGCAAACTCAGATGTTTCCGAAAGGGCTTCAAATGTAAGCATCGCTGCACCATCATCAGAGACATAGCATGCAACTTTGTCCACCGGATAATCTACCGCAAGTATCGATAGAACCGTATTTGCGGTGATAAGTGGAGGTTCTTTCATAGGATCCACAGTACTAACAAATATGTCTACATTGGCCAGTTCAGATGGCTTTCCTTCTTTCTCATACCTGCAAAGCCATATAGCATTAGCCATAGAATAACTAGATGAACAGTCCCATCAAGACAGAAAATAAATAAATGAATGAATACCTCAGTGATAAACGATCGAGGTATGTTTCTCGTTCAATTGGGCACCATTTCGGAAATTGATCGAGAATCCATGACACAGCAAACCAGATTTCACATATTACTGATGTTAGCCACAGACCAAATGCATCATGGACAGGATGGAGAATTCTGTAATGAAAAAAGAGGCCGAGAATGGCAATCCGGAGTACTATTATGATCCTGTATGGACTTATCTTGCTTGAAGGAATTGGTACCTTCCTCCAAAGTGGCTGCCTGCCTTCATCCATTCTGTTGAAAAGCATGAAATTTAAATTAAATTAAATATTATCAACCTCGGCCAGCTTAATATGGCAATTAAGCATCTTATTTGGTGAAAATCAAAAGTTCCTTTCTAACTAGTATTCTGCATCGTCTTTGACCAACCAAACAACAGTTTGTGACAAAAATATGATAACATCAGCATTTTCCATACAAAATTTAAGCTTCATAAAGTGACAGAAAAGAATTTCAACGCTGATGAAGCCGCCAATGCTAACACAAACAAGCAGAAATGAGTTAAAATTAATTTAAAAAGAATACCATTTACGTATCAAACAATTTAAGAATTGTTGGTAGTGAGTGATACAGATATGAAAAAAGATACGATCATCACATATGCGACAGCACAATAAAATCTTAAGTGCTTGTGTGCTAATTAAAGCATTTCTCAACGCCAATAAGAGAATCCAACGTGTCGGAAGCTCATAGATTCTCTAACAGATAGAATCTAACTACTGTTCTAATTCAAAATTCAGTTACAATATAACAGCACTTACGTTGGCAGTTCTGGATCATCCAATTCATCAGCATTTTTTCCACCATCTTCATGTTTGACCACCTGCAGTTTTTCATTCTGCTTCTTTTTCCAGTCCTCCATCCGTTCCTTCCATGTAACACTACCATAACCGTAAACTGCTAAATCCTTTTTAGGATCCATAGCTCTGGGTTGAACTGCTAAATCAAGTGCCATGTAAAATATAAATTAGAAAAACCAGGTTTGACTTAAACAGCATAATAAAGAGGGGTCATATAGTTTCAAGCTACAATGCAGAATAAAACCAGAACATATAATAGCTTACTAGGTACAGATGAATCGGGAAAAGGCATAGGATGAACACGCTTCCCACGAGCCATGAACGGAGGAACAATAAGTGCATGTTTATCAGCAGAAATCCCAAGATCCTTAAGAGACCAAACAAAAAAAAAATCATCATTTATCAGTGACTTGAACCCAAAATGGCATCATCATCAAGATGATAAAAACGAAATCACAAGTCGCAAATTCAATTAACCTCTTGGCCGTATGTAAGGAGAGGGATTTCACCGGCAGCCACAGAAGCCGCATCTACCTCTGATGGAGTGTTGTCATCGCGGCCAACATTAAGGCGAGCAGAAAGCATGGCCTCAGCAATGTGATGAGGGTCTCCATGAACACTTCCAATATCAAACTCATTCTCCAAATCATCAATATCATCCTCTTCATCATCACCGTCAACCCTAGCACTGCCTGATATTTGATTAAATACATTATTATTAGCCCAGTATACAACCAGATTACAGAGCAAGGAAAAGCAAACCCAAGTAAAGATTAAAAAAAATATTCAAGACATGAAACCAACATGTCAAAAACAAAATATACATAAATATATTAACACTTGTTATACTCAAACATCAATTAAATCACCCTATGAAGCTAGTTCGTTTGGACTATAAAGTTCAGCATTCTAGAATTAGAAACCTTAATACGCCAGTGAATCTGGAGAGTGCGCCAAGGAGAAAATTTAATCCGATGAAATCGTAAGACACTCCAAGAAAAAAACAAAAAAGTTATAAAAAAAAAAAAAGTTACCAAACATGACTAGAGAGATGAAATTGAAGTTTTTACCTCTGTGACGCTTGTATCTGGTTTTGCACTGAGGACAAATTTGGTTGCCCTCTCTTCTTTCATATTCATAACAGGGTCTGCAAACTGGAAATGCACATTCGTTGCAAGCAACAAATGGTTCCCCATCCACTGTTACCTCAACCTCGTCCCCACAGATCTGGCAAATCTGACCGCTCAATTCTGTCACAGATGTCACCTGAAATTCTCATCATAATTAGACTTGAATTTCACTACACAACAGTATGAAGCATCAAACTCCAAGGATTTCATATAATGGATCGATGAAGAAACGAGAAGATGGGAAAAAAATTAACGGACTGGTCTTCCCCAGATTCTCAATTGGACGAACGGAAGGTATAAGATTTAAAAAAAAAAAAAATCTTCTTTTCTTGTCGTAGAAGCTGAAGAGGTACCGACAAGAAAATGGATAAGTTTAAACGGGAAAATTTCCAGAACTTCACCGACAAGTACATTTATCGGGAACTCTTTCTGTGAAAAGGAAACAAACAATTACAATGAAGGAACAAGATGGTCATAACAATGAAACAAAGAGAGAAAATGCGAAAAACCAAAAGAAAAAAAATCAATTGAGTGGGAATTCAGAAATCAGAACGAAGAAGGCTCTTTCAATCAGACTCCTCACATGGGTTTCTGAAAATGGGTCTGAGAAGAAGAAGTGAAGCAGAAAGAAAAAGGTCACATTTTTTAAGCTGCAATTTTTTCAGAAGAAGTAAGCTTACAGAAGCTAAAACGGATTAAAAAAGACACTCACTCTTGCAGTCTCATCGGCATTGATGAGAATGAATTCGTTCCTATTATGCGACCCAGCAACAAGTCTTCCCTTAGTATCCATTAGAAACCTCAAATGACGACCTTAATCTTCACAATATGAAAGAGATCTACTTCACCAAGCCTTCTCCACTGTCTCTCTCATCTCTCAAACAAACCTTCAAAGAACAAAGAACACAACTTTACACCACATTTAGAGACCCATTCAAGAAACACCAGCTCCTCAAGAGCACAGTAAGAGAATGGGGGATACAGAGAGGAAAGAGAGAGACAGAAGGAGCAAATATAGAGATGAAAGTGTCGGGGGGATTATTAAAATATAATAAGAGGGAGGGGTTAGAGAGAGAGAGAGAGCGAGAGAGGAAGTTTTATTTGGGGATGTTGATAATGAATGATTCTTTTCTTGCTAAACCAAGTATTCCAACCTATGGGTTTCTGGCTGTAAAAATGATAAAGGAAAATAAAATAAGGAACAGAGAAACAGAGGTGGGTGCCCCGTCTGTCTCAGATACGATATAATTATAAAAGAAAGAAGAAGACTTGAGACGAGCTTGCTGGAAAAGAAATATCAATTGACCTTTAAAAAAAATTACAATGGGGAGAGAGAGAGGAATCATGAAGAAGCACGAGTTAAAACCTGAAACAGTAAGCGAAACGAGACGAGACAGGGGAAGAGAGAGAGAGTAGCGTCGTGTTCAGTGCTTGGAAGCCCTCAAATTAGGACGTTTTGTGAGTTCTGTTTTATCTTTTTCCTTTATGCCTCACAGCTTGCAACGGAAATGCAGCTCTCTCCCCAGCTGTGAACTGGCTCATGTTATTATTCTCTAACGAGTTTTGTTTTCTTGATATTACTCTATATTAATTAAAAATTAAATTAAATTATACCACCACCTAATAAATTATTTTAGTTTTTTTAAGCTTATCAGATAATTTTTTGAGTTGACTCATTACCATTCTTTAAAAAAATATTCACATTTAACTTGAAATAACGTAAGAACCAAGAAGTTTGAAGAAATGTGGTGAAACTTGTGAAAGAAGATTGATAAGATAATACTCCCTCCGTTCCTTATTATAAGAGACGAATAACCGAATTACGTTGATCAAAAAAGCAGTTAAAATTAGTTAAGAACAATCAATGTGTAAAAAATATAATTTCTTTTCCAAAAATGCCCTCATTAATCAGGAGAGAGAGTATGAGAGAGAACAATTAAATTATTGAAAGAAAGAGAAGGGGAATGGAGAGAGAATGTGAGTTGGAGACAATAAATATAGATAAAATAGGAAATCAACACAAAAAAGTAGAGACAACTTTTAAGTGTCTCTTATATATAGGAACATGCCATAAGCATCAAATGTCTCTTATAATAAGGAACGGAGGGAGTAATATATAAGCAAAATTAGATTCCTTAATTACATCACTTTCAATTTTAACTTTTACATATTGATGATATTGATTAGGTATCTAACAAGTAACGAGTGTGATAATGAGAATAATGGTTCCACCTGAAAAAAAAATTACACATGAACAGATTTTTTTTTGTTTAATTTAAGGAAATTATTAATTAGTAGAAAATTATACACTTTTAATTTTAATTTAAAAAATTTTTTAATTTTAAATTTTTAATGGTGTCATCAAATTTGGCGTTTGCCAAGGCAGCCAACTCAAGCGTGAGAAAGACCCGCAAGTCTAAAAGCAGTTTGTGGACAAAATAAAGTGTTGGAAAAACAGCTACGACAATTAAATTATTGAATTTAAAATTATTTATTAGTTGTTGTTGCTGCTATTGTTGTCCTCTTCTGTTACTAATATTAATATAAATCCAAAATTAATCAAATAAAAATTAATTATTAAATTATTGAAACAAATGTTTGGCACATGACCCTTCTTTCTTTCTTTCTTTCTTTAATTTTTTGCTAGTGAGTAAATTATTTAATATATTTCTTACTCTTTTTGTGGGAACAACGAATTGGACATGTGAATCTTTGAGCTTGGGGAATTTATGCTTGTTTAATAATACTTCTTGCCTTAATGTGAAGTGTCATGGTGAATAAAGTGTTTTTTCCATCTAAAATATATATACAATTTTTGTTCAATAAAAAAAATTATAATGTTTATAGATATTTTGATAACTAATAGAAAATAATAATCTTAAATTAATTTAAAATTGAAATTTTTACATAGAGTAGGTTTATTATATATAATTTTTTAAATTGTTAATGAATGGTGATTTTCAAAAAATTATAAATTAATCGTGTCAATATTGTGGAGATGTTTTGAATTTGTAACTCAGGGCTATATATAATGATTTTAAGTTGAAAAAAATTATTCTTAAATCTTAAGACATTTTAAAATATTTATTAAAATATTTAATGAAAATTGTAGAAAGCATATCATTAATAAACAATAAATAATGCAATATATTTTGGACTATGTGCAAATATGCAAGTCTCCAGATATTATAAGTAAAATTTAAATATTGTTGGACCTGATTTGAAGTCCGGGTGACTCTCATAACATAATTTTTCTATCTACAAGATTTAAATATGATACATTCCTTAAAAAAATTAAATCATTTTCCCAGGATTCAATCAATATCTATACAAAGGACCACTCCAATTATTTCATAGGTATGTAAATATGAAATTTCCTGGTATGCCCTAAATATTCATTAAAACCTACCCAGATATAATTGAAGGACACATAAGAGAAGAACCTGAAAAATAATACTAGTACTAATAAATATGTCATTATAAATAAATCTATGGCGAAATTTATAACCAGGAATGCTGGTCAAAAAAATTTATAACCAGGAAAAAAAAATTGAATGAACGGCAGATTTAATGAAATGACATTAAAAACTTACCGAACTAGAGCAGGCAAAAGCAATGAGAGCCATTAACTCTGTGTCAGCCTTCTTTCTGCATTGATATTATTCATTTTTCATATATTTATATATTTATTTAATTATTTATTTGTTGTTGCTTCTAAGTTTCTTCAAGCTAGCTAGATTCAACCTCTTTTACTCAACTAGAATTATATAATTCCCTTTTCCAACGCTTCTTTCTTTTTCCCAATTCTTCATGTTACCCTCTTCTTTTTGTGCCTCACTTGAGTTCTGCTCATAAAAGGCATTATTATTACTACTACTATTATTTCAAAAGCGTTATGCATGCAAGCATTTCCCCTTGTTTGGTACATTTATGGTAATCAATTTTAGCAAAGTTTATCTTACAAATTAATAAATTATGGGTATAGAAATTATTACCTATAATTAACAAAATTATGAGAACCCAGTAAAAAGTTACTATGGCTTAATTAAAAAAATGAGGTACAACTATGGGAACTTGTATATTATTTTTTAAAAAAATTCAATTGCTTATACTACCTCCGGTCCTAATTATAAGACCCAATTGACTAATTTGGGGAGGTTAAAGAACTTAGTTAAGTTAATTATTTGTAATGAACAGATATTGTTTTCCCTAAAATATCATTGCTAATCAAATTTATTATCTAGAACTATTATTATTAGAAGGATTATTTTGAGAAAAAATGAATAAATATGAGAGATAAAGTAGATTGGGATTTTATATTTAGGATCAAAATAAAAATCAAATAAGGTATTATATTAAGAACTGGAGGTAGTATTTTTTAGTGTCGGTTTTTTATTCAAATGTGATAGATAGATAATTTTTCGTTTTAAAGAGTTACATATTTGTAAGCATACTCCCTTGTTTGGTATCTACTAATGGTAATTAATCTCTCGCTTACTGTACCAAAAATATAAAATTATTTTTAATTTCTTATACTTTTGATGTCGGTTCTTCTGACTTTTCCTTTAAATAGAAAAATAGCTCCTGTCTTCTTAGTCTTACCAATATACAAGAGTTAAATCTTTTGGTGTCACTAAAAATCATGTCTTGACAAGTATTTTGTGAAAATTTTTAACACTATATTTTATTTTTTTTCCCGTAATTTTTTGAGTTCAAAGTTAAAATATAATTTTCATTCTGTCATTGACTTATCATGCATTTAAGATGGAAATTAATATTAATATAGTATATATAATAATATCTCAATTTTCAATAGCCCTAGTCTGCTAGAAAACAAAAGTTAAAAAAAAAAAATCTACATGTGATATTTTAATTAAAAATGTTAATAATAAAATATTTTGGGGCCCATGGGATCTTCTGAAATCATTCGTTAATTAGGTATCATTTTTATATTGCATAATACAGAAAATTGATATGTTATTTTATTACTTGATCAAATGATTCTCCGGGCACAAGCAAAAACTAACTGTTCATGAAACTATACTTACAATTGGAAAATTTGCCTTTATTGTGATAAAGATTCAATTATCATCAAAGTTATAATATAATATAATTATTATCCATTTAGATAAGTTTAAACTAACTTTATTTGCTATACTTAGAATAAATCTAGTGTCACTTTAATACTAAGTTAATTTTTCCCCTTCAGAGAAAATTTTAAATTAAATAATAATAAATTTTCCACGAGGCAAAAAGATTTTATTTTATTTTCTTTTCCTTCTGCCGACACTTTCTTGATGGTCCACGGTTTGAAAACTCAAGGTCATATTTTAATTTTCTGCAATTTTCATCTAACAACTTTATTATATTTTTTTAAATAATAAGAATTGAAAAGTAGGTTGAACGACCTAATTAAGGGGCAAAACAAGATTCTTCTTTTTCTTTTCTAATTCTGATTTCCTTTCAATAATTTATCACCTAATAATTTATTTATGGACTTTTATTTCTATGTTTCGTTCAATATAATTTTGTTTTAAATCAAAATAAAAATAAACTATTTTAGTTAATTTTACCAAAGGAAAAAATTATTCTACAGAATTTTACTCATTTAGTTTAGTTTTAGATTAAAAAATATTTTATCTATTTAGTGATTTATTTTTATAGTTTTCATATTTTATTTTTTAAATATTTTTGTTGGACTCGTGTTTTTATCCAGTATTATATGAATCCATCATATACTGTTCATGATTTATAAATGTAAGTGTTTTCTGTAAATTAGTTACTTGTGGATCTATTAAATTTTTAGTATTAAATAATTTAACAAGAAAGCAAACTCAAATTCAAATGTTGCAATTTTTTTGGGCAAACTTACAAAATTTATTTTTTCCCTTGAAAATTACCAGAATTTGTTTGTACATATGACTTATTATATGAAAGGTACGGTACAACGAATTAAGAAGGATTTGGCAATTTGGCCCATCCTTTTTATTCTTTTCTCAGAAACAGACGCACCAATATTAGAATACTATATCATAATATGATCTTATTTTTTGATATTTCCAAAGTATAATTGGTTTCCCTCTGAAAGGCACCATCCTACCAAAGTGCCAATATTATTGTCACTTTCTGTGTGCCGACTAACAAATTTGCCATTT